TCCTGAACTATATTATCTACTCAACGCACAAGCAAACAAAACAACAATCAATTTGTTAAAAGATTGAACTATTTGTACATGCAAAGTGCACATCTTGATTAACACCTCTAATATGTCAAAAATTTGACAATTGATTGAAAAAAGTGTTATCAAGATCAATGTACCAAAGTCGATCAATTCACGTGAGCGTAAATCAATGTATCAACTTTTATGTACATGTAGCATGATCGTTCCTTAAATAGCTTGTCATCTTGCCTCTCATTTTTTTAAATTGTTTGAACAATTCATAAAAGATTTCTAAATCATGCTATCAAAATGAATTTTTACTTATCTAATGTTCAATCAATGTGTGCGTGTGCATAGTCAATTCAATCATCATAAACCTTTAGGCTTGTTATATCCCTACCCTTTTTGGTCACTTTTTTGCCTTGCTCTGAACACTCTAAAATTTGTGTTTTCAATATCTCACTAGATGTGTTTATTATGAGATCGATTTCACAACACACTTTTTTCTTTCCCCCTCAAATTTGGTTTGATTAACCCAATGAAAACAACTATCTTAATTTGTGATGATTCTTCCTAAATTTGAATATCTCAACCTTCAAATTTCAATTAGGCTAAATCTCCCACATTATGCCCATGTTTGATCCTCATTATCTAAAGTCTATTCATTCCCAAACTTATTTTCAGCAATAAATTCTCATAATAAAATATTTTTGCACATAAACTCAAAATTTTTCCCTAATTTATAATCGCACATTCTCTAAAATTTCACTATTACTAAACTCTATCTTTCAGCAAAAAAAAAAGGCTCGAACACATCATATAATTACATTACAATCTCTAACATTTACTTACACATTTATGCTCCTAATTTTTTTTTCATCGCATTCTTATCACCAACTTCCATTACTTAGCACTTTTTGCTTTTCGTTCAAAAATTGTATTACCATGCTCTAAAAAGGGTGATTTTTAAATCCCACATTTCTATTTGTTGTTGTTTTCTCTTATTTAAAAATTAGATGGAAAAATAAGTTATGTTACACTCATGAAATCGTCGTAGGAACAAGATTTGTTAATTAATGAAAGATTGGGGATAAGAGTGCAATGAAAAAAGTAAAGGATATAAGTTTGATAATAAAGTATAGAATATGGACTTTAATTGTAATTAAAATATAGTGTACTTATAAAATACCGGGGGCATTTGTCAAATTGGTCTTGTTGACCAAGTCTTTTAAGCCTTTTATAAAATTGTCTATTT